CGGTGGTTTTGATTGGTATTCTTGTTGATTGTGTTTTGAGAAATACCTGATAAATAATAGTTGCTAAATAAATACTTGCGTTTAATAATTGATAAATACTTGGTGATAAATAATTAGTCGTTTATAGTTTATGAATTATATTGTGACGAGCGTAATGATTTTTTAGATGTGCATGACGTTATCGAGAAGCAGTTATCATCACGAGCTGGTGGGGTGGCGCATCAGAATGAGGAGGTGTTTATTAGCGATGTTATTAACGATATTGTTAATTTTATTGTTGTTGTTGTTGTTGTTGAATTGTAACTGATAATTTTATTAGGATGATGAGGAGAGCAAGGATAAAGAGATAGCTAGTGATAGTGCTAACAGCAACAGTGATAAAACGAAATCCGATACTGCTCCATCGCAAACGAAAAGCGCTCAGAGGTCGGGTTAATTCATTGAACTTTATGTCGTCACGTTATTTATTTGTTTACCTGGATTATCTGGATTGGCCAGGCTGTCAAACGTTTGTAACGTTACTGGCCACAATGCTCGCGTTTCCGCGCACATTGCTTTAACCTCAATTTACACCACCCCGCTGGCTAGGCGAGCAGGCCATGTTTATTTGTTTGAGTGAGCATTTATTTGCAGATCAGCATCACCGCCAGTTACGAGGCGATTGGTATGGCGAGAGGAGAACAGTGTGAGCACTGATAATAAAGGAAGTGAACATGTGCTGATATTATCGTTGGCAAATAACGACAACGAGGTGGATGAGTCGAGAATGGTGATAGTGGACGACAATAACGAGTTGATGCGACGTGCAGTGAGGACTAACAGAGGGGTGAATAACGGCACTAAGCGATTCACATCCCAATCTCCGACCACAACCAGCAACACGGCATCACCACAGAAATCAGCTGCCGGTTGTTTCATTGCTGACAGAAGAAAACAGAGGTGGGTTTATGTATTATTAAAAAGATTTATCTATTATATTTGTTCACTTTAGTGGTTTGTTTATGCGTTGATCCGCATCCGCCTTTATAATGTGAACAATTGTAGAGGTCGACGACGTGCTAGAGGAGGCTCTGCAACGTCAGCAACTGTAACAACGAGTAATATGAATAGCAAGGATCAGTCACAACAACAGATTGATGATATATACGAGTTTAGAAGCAGTCCTGAGTCGGATATTAACATCAACGTTGGTTTATGTATCGTATTTGTTTGTTTGTTTGTTTGTTTGTTCATTTTTTAATTTATTGATTATTTATATTGTTTTATATTGTGCATTGCGGCTGGTAATAATTATGAATATGTATCTAGAAATCGGTATCGGATATGACTGTAGCGTCGCTGTCGAATCGTGAGATGAGCGCACCGCCAGCTGCGAAAAGGCAACGCATCTCGACAGCCGCAACTACAAGTAGTTTGCAAGGTATTTTATTGTTATTGTTGTTATTAATATTACTGTTATTATTATTGTTATTATTACTTGTTATGGTGGGTTCGATTCCCGTTCGCGGAGGAAAGTTTCGCTCGAAACCGAGTGGTGTACCAATATCATTAATGTTGTGAGACTGAGCCAGGCTATGATCCGGCTTATATCTATTATCCAGTTATCTGTTATTATTCATGATGTTATTATTATTAATATTTTTATTGTTTTATTATTACTGCTATTATTACTATCGTTATCATTGTTATTGTTATTGTTGTTTAATATTATCCGTTATGGTGATTCCAGAAGAGTTAGAAATTGCAACAGAGGATCTCCCATCATTGGGAGTGGTTCAAGGAGACGAAGAGCAAAACGAAATGAGTAGTACGACGAGTGGATGTGCAGTGGTTATCGATGAGCATGGTGATGATAATAGCAATAATAATAAGGGAGTGGTTTCGGGACGTAAGGTTAGTTTAAAGTGAGTGGGTTGGTGGCTGTTGAATGTGGAATGATGTGATTTTATGAATAAATGGTTAAGGTACCGCCGTTACGCATCACATTACCGCGAACACCGAGTGAAGATGGTATGGTGAGTAGCAAAGGTGATGGTGTTACGAACACGGCTGAAGAAGCCGTGGTGGTCAGTAAAGATACGCAGTCGAATGCAAGCACTGCAAATGAG